AATAAAGATTATAGTATATTTATTTTTTTATTCTGTTTAAGAATATATAAAAAATAACTAGATAAATAAAATAAAATAAATATATTTTTAATTTAATTTAATTAATTAATTAATTAATTTAATTTAATATATATATATATATATATATATTTTATATAATTTTAATATTTAATTTTTCATTTAAAATTTAATTTAATTTATTAATATATATTGATATAAATTTAAATTATTTTTAAAATATATAAATTTATTAATATATAAATATTTTTTTATTAAAAAAAGTTTTCATTTATCAAGTTTAAAAAATAAATTTAAACTAATTAAAAATAGCAATGATTACAAATATTTATTATAATTTATTATTAAATTTGATAAATAAATAAATTTAATTAAAAAAAACATCATCAAAATATAAAAAATGTATAATTGTTATTTTACTTTTAAAAATAAAAGCATTATTTATTAAAATAAATATAAATAATACTATTAACAAAAAAAATAAATAAATTAAAAAGAAATTATAAAAAAAATTAATATTATTTACTAATTAAATAAAATTTTATATATATAAATATTACTTGTATTGTTTTGTTTAAAAGTATAAAAATATTTAGAATACTTATATTTAGGCAATAAATACATTTATTAATAAGTTATCTAATTTAATTATAAAACTATAAAAATATAATATAATACTAAATTTATTGATAAATAATTAAATAAATATATAAAAAAAAATCATTTATAATTTACTGAAATTGTATATTAAAAAATTTAAAGGAATAATTAATTATATTAAATTTTTAATCCTTATAAATTATAAAATTTATACTTAAAAAAAAATTATCTTAAATTCTTAATTAACTTTATATATTATTAAGTTTTGAATTTTAAAAAATGATTAATAGCACCCTTAATATGATAAAAGTTAAATTATATTAATTAAAACCTTAATTAGTATATAAATATTTAAATTTTATAAAATTATATAAAAAACAATATAGTTTTTTTTCAAAAATATAATTAATGAGGGACTTTTTTATAATAGTTATCAACACTTATAAAAATCTTAAAAAAAATATAATGAATTTTTTTTTAATAATTAAAATAATTAATTTTAAAAAACTAAATATTTTAATAAAAAAAAAAAAATTTATAATAAAAGGAATTTATAAAAATATAGATATATATAAATATATATATATATTATATAAATTTTTTAAAAATATTATTTTAAAGTTAGAATAAAATATAATAATAAAATTAATGTATAATTAAATAAAGATTAGATAGTGAATATTATTAAAGAATAAAAAAAAGGAATGTATTCTAATTAAAACATGTTTTTATTAATATTAATTTTTAAAGTAATAAATATATTTTACAAAATGAATAATAAAATAAATAAAAAAATTAATAACATAAAATTAGAAAATAATATATGACTTGATATTGCAATGAAATTATAACAAAAAATTTTTTTAAAGTTAATGTTACAAAAAAAAAAATAGCTATTAAGAATTAAATATATTCAAAGGTATAAAGGTTTAATATATAATTATATAAATATATAAATATATAAATATATATTATAATATTTTAAATTAATTTATTATATAATTAAAAGTTATTTTTATTTAATATCTAATATACAATAATTTTTTAAATTAAAAATTAATTGTATTATAATTCATATTATTATTTTATTATTTTAAACTTATTTTTAATATAAAAAATATATTTAAATTTTTTTTAATAGATTTACATTTTTATAATAATAATAATATATGAATTATTCTTATATTTTTAATATAATTAAAATTGAAAATTATTCTTTAAGAATAATAATTAAAATAATTTTTAAGAATATTTATTTAAATATTTTAAGAAAAATATTTATTTAAATATATTTAAAATATTTTAATTTTTTAGTTTAAAAATATATATATTTAAGAATAATTTATTAAGTTAATTATTTTTAATCATTTTTTTGTTTATTTAATTAAAAATATTTAAATATATTATTTAAGTTAATTTTTATTATATATTAGTTTAATAATAGAAAATTATTTAATTCTTACTTTTTATTTATTCATTAAAAAAAAAAATTATTTCACTTTAAAATTTGTTTCCTAATTTTTATTAAATAAAATAATATTTATAAAAAAAATCTCAAATTTCATTATAAAAACCATATTAAAAGATTAAAAATATATAATTTAATTAAATAAAATGTCTGAAAATAATAATATTGTATTTACACGAATATTATATGAAAATATGCAAGAATATATAAATAGACCAGTGACAATTTTAGGAAAAGTTTAAAAAATATAATAATATTTTACATAAATAAATACATCTACTAATGAATAATGTAATTAAAAATAAAAAAAGTTAATTAAATATAATATTTAAAGAAAACATAATTATAGAAAACTTAAGATAAGACATGATTTCGCCAAGCTGTTAATTTATTGAAGTAAGAGGAATAGTAAAAAATTTAAAAACTATTACATTTGACTCCTATATAGAAATTACAAGTGAAAAAGAAATTGGTATACATATTTATTTTATAAATAAATAATATTTGAAAAAAACTATATTTTTAGATTTTGAAATTTATGAGAAAATGGTAAAACATACATTATAAAATTTTAAATACTTATTTTAAAATTAATGAGAATTTATTAATTGTCTTTTTTAATTATTATTAATAAATGAAAGCAAATTATTAATGTATTGATTTTTTTTGTAAATTTATATATATTATTTACATACATATAAATAAAATTTGCTATTATTATTAATAAATTAAATTATTATATTTATTTATATCTAATAAAATAACTATTTTTTTTATTTTATATTTAGAAATTGTTTTTTATGCTTTTCTTACTTATTTATTTTTATTATTATCATTATTTATATTAATTATAATAATATTTTTCAACTATTTTTCTTTAAAGTATATATGATGATATTATTTCTTTATTTATATATATTCAATATAAAAAAATCTTTTATATAATTTTAATTAAATTAATAAAAATTAAAAACTTTTAAATTTTAAATAAAAAAAATGGATAAATAAGAAATTTATACAGTTGAAGATACAAATGCGGACGCTATGGCTTCAAAGCTGTTAAAAAAAATTATTTAAATTAAAAAATAATATTTTATTTTTATTAAATTTAAAATAGATCAGCTGTTAATAAAGGGTATTTGGAAGACGATTTTGCTAAAGAGTTTGTTTAAGAATAAGAAAGGAAAGATATTATTATACATAGAGGGTATTGGGGTAGAGTTAACATTTTTTAATTACTTTTAGAAAGATTTTTATTAAATTCGTCTAATATTAAAAAACAAATAATATCTTTAGGATGTGGATATGATACAAATTATTATATGTTAAAAAAAAATCCATAATTTTAAAATTTAGATTTCCTTTATGTAGAGTTGGATTTAGAAAATGTAGTCAAAAATAAGGTAATTTAATTTAACTTTTTTGTTTTTGTTTTAAAAAATATTTAAAACTGGTTATAATATAATTTTTATTTGATTATTTAAATAATAGATTAAAAAAATTGAAAAATCAACCATAATATAATAAGTTATTGGTGAACATAAATTAAATGGTATATATTAAATACTAAATATTAATTTTTTAATTTCAATAATTATTTTATTATAAATAAAAGAGAAAAAAACAGAGCTTAATTCAAAAAATTATTGTTTATATCCATAAAATTTAATATAATAAGATAATTTTATTCAAAATTTAAAAAATGCAGGTGTTGATTTATCGTAAGAAAATATATATTTAATTTTTTTTTATGTTTTAGACTTTAAAAAAAAAAAAAACTAACAAATTAAGAATACCAACGTTTTTTTTTGCAGAATGTGTATTTACATATATAGAAACAAAACATGTAGATTCTTTAATAAAATTAATATAAGATTCATTTGAGGTAGTTTATTTAGCAAGTTATGAAATGATGAACCCTCATGATTAATTTGGTAAAATGATGGTCAAAAATTTTGAAGTACAAATATACATTTAAATTTTTATATTTTTTTAAGAGAAAAGGATGTCCTTTAGTAGGAATATTTGATTACCCTGATATTAAAAGTTAATAATAAAGGCTTTATAATTTAGGATTTTAAAATGTAGAAGTTTATTCAATGCTTGATGTTTATAATCATTATACTGACTAAAAAGAGAAAAAAAGAATTGAGAAAATAGAAATGATGGATGAGTTTGAAGAATGGAACATTATGCAAAAGCATTATTTTGTTAGTTTAACTTCTAAATATTCTTAAAGTGCTCAAAACAATAATGAATTTTAATAACTTTTTCATAATTTAAAAATTAATTAAAATTAATGATTAAATATTTTTAATATATATATATATATTATTTTTTTTTAATATATCTTTTATAAAATTTTAATTTTCATTATTTATTTAAAACTTATAAATATATATTTATTATTTTATCTTAATTAATATGTATTTTATTGTAATATTAAATTAATTTTGTTTTTAAATTGTGAAATATTATAGAAAAAAAAAAAAAATATATAAATATGTAATAATATATTCAGAAAGTTAAATCTTAATTAACGCCTCCTGGCTTATTAGAGCATAAAACAGTTTAAGTTTTATTTTCATCTTTATATACATTTTCATTTTCTAAATTATCTTAATCAGGTGGAGTAAGATATAACTTATCTATTTCAATTCTTTTTTTAGATGACGCTTTAATTCCCCAAACCAGACTTTCTATTTTGAAATTCAAAAAGCTATTAACCTTTAATATTTACAAATAAAAAATGATTTTACTAATAAAAAAATTACTTATGGAAATTTAATAATATGAAGAACTCCATTGAAATCAGAAAATTGATTGCTTTCAAATAAAGGCTATAATTTTATAACTAAATCAAAATTCATATAAAAAAGAGACTTATAAATATCAGAAAAGTTAGAAGGAATAGTTAAAACACATAAAATATGAGATGCTCTAACAATAGTCTTTAATGCATATAAAAATTTAACTAATTCTTATTTAGTATATTTTATTTTGCAAAAATTTCCAAATAAATTAGTAATGCAAAGTTTTTTCAATTAAGTATCTTTTTCCGAACATAAACTATTTTATATATTCTAAACTATATCTTCTAATAGTTATTTAAGACTGTGAAATTCATTAAGGTTCACACTTTATACATATTAATTTATTTTGTCCTTTTCTTATACGTTTCTACTTAAATCAAGCTTTGGTATATCGTTATTTAAACTTTCTTATTTTAATTTTATCACTTATGTATCATATCTCCATGCTATTTTCGAATTTTCAGATTATTATCTTTTTTTATTTTATATTATTTTTATTTTTTATTTTTGTTTACTTTTCTAATTTTTCTTAATCTCTTTTTTCTTCTCTTGTGCTTTTTACAGGTATCATATCCTGCCATCTTTAGTAAAAAACATCATATATAAATGATTTTTATTCCATGTGAAATGCAGAACCTATAAAATATCTGTTGAGCGAAGTATGCATAGATGTAGGAAAATCTTCCTCAATTAATATGGTTGTTCCTTTTTTTAAAGAATTTTAAAATATTGCATCAAATTCAGAATGACCAAAAAAACATTTATTTATGTCTTCTTTTTATTTAGTTTTATCGTTTTTTTTAAATGAGCTTTTCATTTGTATATTTTTTAAGAATTATTATATAATAATTAGGATTTTTTTGATAAATTTATTTATTAATATTTTTAATATATATTAAAAAAAAAATATATATTATATTTTAATTATTGCACATTTTTTATATTATTAATATTCAAAAACAATCTATATATTTTAATCAAACTTTATTACATATATAAATATTTTGATTTATCTGGACTATTAATTATACTTAACTATCAGTTTTTTTTTTAACAGATTGATTATTTATAATAAATGTTTTATTTTAATAAATATTATACTTTTTTAATAATTTAAAAATGGAAATATTAATTTAAAAATTAAATGATTTAAAAACAAGTGATTAATTAAATTAGGAAATTAATAATTTATTAGATTTATTAGATAAATTTGAATAAAATTTGATATAAAGAGAATAAAACTTAAAAAAAGTATAAATGAAGTAAACATATGATATTGATTAAAATAACTTAAGTAAAACAATTAAATAGATTATTAAAAATATAATGAAATGTTATTAAAAAAATAAATTATATAGGAAATCAAAGATTTGTAAATATAAAATTAAAACAAATAATAAAAAATTGAAGAATTGAATTTTAATATTTGTAGTTAATAACACGCTTTAGAAAAAAAGTTTGAATCCTTAACAGTAATGAGGTCCTAATAATCATATAAAAAATAATTAGATGAAATGTAAAATATATTAAGTTAAAAAGAAAATAAACTAAGATAATTAGAATTAAAATTAAATAAATAAAATAAAGATTTTTGATAACTAAAAATATAATAATTTTTATTATTTGTTTATTCATAATATTTTAATTATAAGTTTAACTTTCAAGTATTAGTTTTTAAAAAAAAAAAAATTATGTATTTTTAATTTTATATAATGTAAGTATTAAAATTACTTATGAATCGTTTAAAAGATTATATTAATTATTTTATAAATAAAAATAATATATATATATACATATACATATATATATATATATATATATATATATATATATAGATATATGTATATATATATTAATAAAATATATATTTATTTATAATTTTAACAAAGCTATTTAAAATAAAATTTTAAATATGTATTAGTATATCAATATAGATTGCATAATAATAATAATTAATTAAAATTAAAATTTTTATACTTAAAAATATTATTAAAGCGAAATATTATTATCAATATTTTATATTTCAATAAAAATATTAGAAATTTTTTTTATTTTTTTATAATCAATTAAAACTAAAATTATAATATTTTTTTAATGATTGTATCTTTCTGTTGTATCAAAATTTGATAAAATTAGCTTTTTTATAACCTTAAAATTTATAATTACACTAATATAATTATAATTAGTATATAAAGTTTAATGTGAGAAATATTTTATTACATATTCGAAAAATGGAAGAGTATACGAATTAAATATTAAAAATTATATAATTTAATTTAATTTTATATTACAAATTAAATAATTTAAAAAAAAATACAAATATAAGTATACGTTTGTATTCTATATTTTTTACTATAAATATTAAAAAATTAAAATTTAATTTTTTTTTTTAATTAAATCAAAATATAAAAAAAATGAATAATTTTGACGAATAAAGTTAAGACAACAGCCTAATCTTAAAAAATGAATTTTTGGAAAATTTAGATGAATATTCTTAAAGTAATAGAGAAGGTTTTAATGCTCTTTTTAATCTATAGTCTAAAATATTAAATATTAATTATATGAGTAATTATATTAGTTAAAAGTAAAGTTTCTGTATAAGTAATTTTAATTAATAATAATATAGAAGTTATAAATGTAAAAGTTCACAAAGCTAATAAAATTTAACTTAAAAAGGATACAATAATCCATCTACCATTTAGAAATAATTCAAATTTGAAAGTTAATACGACTAATTTTAAACTTCTTAATTCTAAGTTGAAAGTATAAATGAATATAGATAAAAAGATTTAGAAAAAAAGAAAGTATAGAGGGTATAACATTGGAATAGTTAAGAAAAATATCGTTATGAAATATTCTGTATGGAAAATTTTGAATAGTTATACAAATAAAAGGATCCTTATGTTAAAAAGAAAGTATACAATAGTAAAATATATATTAAAATGAACGAATTTGTATAAACAAAATCATCTACATAATGTAAAAGCCACCATTAAAACAATTTTTAAAAATGCTTAAAAAAGAACAATTTTAAGATTTGATAGAAAAATATTATTAAAAATAATCAGACGTTTAGACTTTAAAAATAATTTAAGATTATAAAACTGATAGTGAAGATAATATGGTTTTAATTTAAGTTTAGAATAAAAGTAATTAATAATTTAAAAATTTAAAAAATAAAATGGAATTAGAAGAAGTTAAAGAAACTATAAATAAAGATTATAGTTAAATATATTAAAGTTTTAATATTTAAGATTAATTTAAAGTTTTTTTATAATGCAATTAATATTTATAAAGTTGTCATTTTAAAATTTAAAATTAGGAATAAATTAATTTATATATGAAGATAGTTTCAAACTCTTTTGAGTTTTTAAATAGCTAAATAAAATATATTAATAAACTTTAATATTTATTATAAGATTAAAATAAAAATTGAAAAAAAAAAAAAAGATAAATAATAATATAGATTTTATTTGTTTAAAAATATATAATTAATTTTGTTTTTTATAAATTTAATTACAAATTATATATTACACGTTATATGTATATTTTACAATCATATATATTAAATTTAAGGTGAAAATTTTACGTGTTTATCATTTTTTTTTTTATGATTGTTTTAATTACAAAATCTATTAGAAACGCTTGCATTTTTAACTGTATTTTCAAATGTTAATTACAATAAATTATTTTCTTCAAGAGTTAAATTTCTCAATATATCATAGTTTGTATTTATAAAGATTTAGTATAGTCTTTATCGAATATCTCCTTAAATTTTTTACTTAATTGGCCTATTTTTTTTAAACAAATATAATGTTAGATATATTAATAAAATAGGCGTAAGAATAAATTTTAAGAATTGGAATACAATAAAATAAAAGTATTCAGTATTTTATAAATTAATTAAATTAATCCATTTTTACAAATTCATTTATTATATTATACACTTAATTTAATTATTAAATTATAATTAATTGTTATTATTAAAAATTATTCCTTAAATTTTTAATTAAAATTATAAATAAAAATTAAAGATTTTTAGAAAAAAAAATATATATAAAATATGAAATATATATTTATATAAAAATAAAAATAAAATACATAATATTAAACGTAAAATTTATATAAATTTAATATATAAAAAAAACATATAAATTAATAATATAAAAATATAAATATATATAATTATATATATATATATATATATTATCTATATAAATTTAAAAAAAATCAATATAAAATATTAATTATATTATATTAATAATTATATTTAATATCTTTTTATTTTTTCATTAATTTTTTATATTTACTCTAATATATAAATAATATTAAAATATGAATTTTTGTTTTAACTTTTATTATCTCATTTTATAATTTTAGGTAATCTTTTTTTTAGATTCTATATTTCTTTATAATAAATTTTTTTAAATTATAATTAGAAATTCTTTTAAATATATATAAATTTGATTTTAAAAAATAATACTATAGAA